GTAAGCTGTCACCACTGGGGAGGCTAGGTGATGGGCACACGGACCTCTCTGTACTACTTATGCGACAACTTCTTTTTAAAATTTTATTGAATTTATTGGGGCTAACATTGGTTAATAAAATTATACAGGTTTCAGGTGTACAATCATCTATACACAGTATTGTGTGTTCACCACCCAAAGTCTCCTTCCATCACCATGTATCCTCCCTTCACCCTCGTCCACCTCTTCCAACCCCCTTTTCCTCGGGTAATCACCATATTGCTGTCTGTGTCTATGAGGTGGTGGTTGATTTGCTTAATTCCTTCACCTTTTTCACCCAGCCCTCCGACCCCCTCTCCTCTAACAGCTGTCAGCCTGTTCTCTGTATCTATGAGTCTGGTTTTATTTTGTTAAGTTTATTTTGTTCATTAGATTCCACATGAGTGAAATCATATGGTATTTGTCTTTCTCTGACTGCCTTATTTCACTTAGCATAATACTCTCCAGGTCCTCCATGCTGTCACAAAAGTAAGATTTCCTTCTTTTTTACAGATGAGTATTATTCCATTGTGTAAATAAACCACAGTTGTTGTTTTTTGTTGTTGTTGTGTGTGTGTGTGTGTTTTACCCAATTATCTACTGATGGGCACTTCAGCTGCTTCCAAATATTGGCTATTGTCAGTCATGCTGCAGAGAACAGGGGCACATACAGTCTTTCCCATCAGTGTTTCAGGTTTCTTTGTATATATTTCCAGAAGTGGAATCTCTGTGTCACAAGGAAGTTCCAATTTTAATTTTTTGAGAAAACTCCATATTATTTTCCACAGTGGCTGCACCAATCTGCATTTCCACTAACAGTGTACAAGTATACAGTATGCATCTCCACATCCTCACCAGCACCTGTTTGTTGATATATGCCATGCTGACAGGTGAGAGGAGATCCCTCATTGTGGTCTTAATTTTCATTTCTCTGATAATTGGTGATGAACATCTTTTCATATGTCTATTGGCCACCTGCATGTCCTCTTTGAAGAAGAGTCTGTTCAAGTCCTTGGCCCACTTTTTAGTTGGACTGTTTTTTTTGGGTTGAGTTGTACAAGCACTTTATAAATTTTGGATACTAACCTCTTATCAGATGTATCCTGGGTAAATATGCTCTCCCCCTCAGGATGCTCTTCTCATTCTGTTGACCTTGGGGAGCCGGCACGGCCAGGGCGCCTTACGTGCCGCACCAGCTCAGTGAAGGCGAAGGACTGAGAAAAGACAGGCAAGAGAAGGAAAGCTGGGACTCGGTGAGACGCTGCTTCCCTGACGGGGACCCAGCAGCGCCACGGACTACAAGCCGTGTCTTTACTGTGTAGCCGATGCCACAAGGCAAAGTAAGGGCGTGGCCAGGATGCTTACAACATTCTCCTGGGTTTCGATCCTACTCAGTTACATGCACCTGATCAAGCTTTGTTTACTTGCAGCCTGTATCACTCAGGCACGTGGGGCCACGTGTTCGGATCATAGGTTCCAGCTCACACCTACAGCTGTTGGCTGTCATTGTGCGGGGAGGGCTCTGCCCTCCAAGCTGGGACTTGCACGTGGCCACGAGAGGCTGTGCCCTCTCATCGGTCCAAGGCTTGAGCCTGTCCCAACACTGTAGCCGCGCCCCACAGCTGCTGGCTTCCTTTGCTGTGTAAAAACTTTTTAGTTGGATGTAGTACCATCTGTTTATTTTTTTCTTTTATTTCCCTTGCCAGGAAAATAAAATATATCAGAAAAAATATTGCTTTGAGAAATGTCCAAGATTTTACTGCCTATGTTTTCATCAAAGATTATTATGGTTGCAAGTCTAACATTTATGTTTTTAATCCATTTTGAGTGTATTCTTTTTTTAAAATATATATTTTTTTATTGATTTTTTTTACAGAGAGGAAAGGAGAGAGAGAGCTAGAAACATCGATGAGAGAGAAACATCGACCAGCTGCCTCTTGCACACCCTCTACCGGGGATGTGCCCGCAACCAAGGTACATGCCCTTGACCGGAATCGAACCTGGGACCTTTCTGTCTGCAGACCGATGCTCTACCACTGAGACAAACTGGTTTCGGCAGTTTATTCTTGTGTATGGTGAAAGGAGGTGGTCATGTAAGGGATCGAAAAAAACATAATATAGAAACCAGGTAGTAATTATAAAATAAACCATACTAAGAAACTCATAGGAATTCAGGTAGTAGATTTTAAAAATATATATATTTTATTGATTTCTTACAGAGAGGAAGGGAAAGGAATAGTGAAAAACATCGATCAGCTGCCTCCTGCACACCCGCTACTGGGGATGTACCCGCAACCAAGGTACATGCCCTTGACTGGAATCAAACCCGGGACCTTTCAGTCCACAGACCGATGCTCCATCCACTGGGCCAAACCAGTCAGGACTAAAAGAAGCTTTCTGAAGGTTCCCGCACCAAGTAGTGGGCCGTGTTTATATGCACACGTCTCCTTTTATCATCCTAAGAAGCCCCTGAGGTGTGAATGTCCTACACTGAGCTGACCCTTCCTATGACATCTCTGCCCAGGGATCCTCGTGCCTGTTGTCCAGTGAGCAACACAGAACCCCTTTTTGGGGTACACAAGGCCTTACACCCTCTGCCCCCTGCCAGCCTCTCCCGCCCCACGCCCCCGGGATCTCCCGGCTCTAACCATGATGCTTTTAGATTTCGTTCCCCCCACAAGCCTTCTTGCTTCTGAGCCTCTGCCTATGCTGTTCCCTCTGACTATATACTCTTCCCTTAATCCTCTTCCTTCCTAAGTGTTTGGCTCAAATGTGGCTTCTGCAGAGGCATCTCAGCTCCTGGGAGACAGTCACATGCAGTGACACGGCTGCGGAGGACCCCGGGCCTTCCCCCGGCCTTTCTATGAATGTCTTAACCACGTCACCAGCTGTTTCATATGTCACGTTCCACACCTTACACCTGGACGAGGGGTCCCTGCCCTGGGTCCCTCTATTCTGGACCTTCCCTGTGCTTCTCCCCACAGGATGGGGAATCTGGGGGCTCTCTCCGAGCCTAGGTCCTTTCCTTTAGGACCACACCCCTGAGACACAGGCCCCCAAAATCCCCTGTCCAAAAGGCCCCAGGCCCTTTCCCTCAAGGGTGGACCGTGTGGGGTGGCCATGGGGAAGCAGCTTGCAGGGGGATGGCAGTTTGCACTCATGGACTGGAGTGTCCACATGTGTGCACATGGCCTTTCCCTTGGGGCAGAATGGGTGGGAAGATACAGGGGGCAGGCTGAGAGCAAGTTTACATCAGAACCTGGCCTTCTGCCCTAACTGATTTGGCTCAGTGGATAGAGCGTTGGCCTGTGGACTGAAGGGTCCCGGGTTCGATTCTGGTCAAGGGTATGTACCTTGGTTGCGGCCACATCCCCAGTGGGGAGTGTGCGGGGAGGCAGCTGATCGATGATTCTCTCTCATCGATGTTTCTAATTCTCTATTCCTCTCCCTTCCTCTATGTAAAAAAATCAATTAAAAAAAAATTGGCCTTTCAGGTCATTATGAAAAGCACATTTGCCAAAGTAGGAGAACAAAACACATTTTATTGAACGGTTGTTAGCTTGATTTGTAAGTTTACAGTATTTCGACGGGTGTGGCCTCCACCTGTACTCTTGCCCCAGCCCTGCTGGCATTAGGGGTGGGCTGGGGGCAGCCTCACCCACCGGACCATACGCTCCACCAGGGAGGCGACGGGCAGCACCCCTGCTCCAGGGCACAGAGGAGGAGCAGGTAATAAATATTGGCTGTGAGAGACAAACAGGATACTCCAAGTAAAACGCTTGGCATGGTGCAAATGTCAATAAATATTAGCTATTATTGCTTGTTGAGTAAGTGAGCGGGTGGGTAGGGCGGGGAGGGAAGACCCATAAACGGATGCGGTTTGTGCATGAGGGAAGGGGGCCGCTGACCCCAGCGTCCACACTGCCTCTGTGGAGGTCACCCTCCCCTTCCCTCCCGCCTGCAGGCCTCGCCCAGCTGTGTGGCCAGGCAGCCACCAGGGCGGCGTACTTGACAGCCAGGCGCAGAGAGGGGCGGGGGCTCCTGCTAGTGCCACTTGCCCTCCCCGAAAGGAAGATCAGTGGGCAGGTTCCCTCTTCACCTCCAAGGACCTCCCCAGGCCCAGCCAGGACCCGCCCACTTCATTGCTTTTGTTTGTTTTTTGCCTTAGTTTACCCATAAGTCCATGCTGTGGTTAGGGGGCAGCTGAAAGGATTGGTTTTACCCAACCAGGAGGCTGTGCTTTGGTATACGGGGAGCTTATCAGCCACTGGACCCTGAACCAAGTCTCTCTGCCTCGGCAAGCCTCTGTTTTGTCATCTGCGAAGCGGGACTTTGCGTGTGCAAACGGTGCGTGTCAGGTGGCGGGTGCCGGGCACACGTTTACCCAACGGGCAGAACCTAAGCGGGCCAAGGAGGGCAGAGCCCCGGACCCGCAAACAAGAAAGCAGGTGAGAGCTGTCCACAGCCAGCCAGGGGGAGGCTGGGCAGAGCTCCTTCCTGCGCCTGAGGGAAGGCAGGCCCGGCTGCCCACGCTGGAGGCCCGCCCGGGCCAGGCCTGTCCCGGCAGCAGGGACGTGGTTTCGGGTGGGCATGTGCCAGCCCACAGGGTCTCTGTTCAGGCCTCAAGCCTGAAGCAGCCAGGAAGCCCCTCACCCCAAACGACTCCTCCACACAAGGGCCCGGGGCCACCCCAGAAAACAACCCTCACCACTGCACACACACACACCCCCCACTACCTTCTCATGTGCACGCCGGCGCACACACAGTAGGTGGCGCTGCAATCAAGCACAGAACCCAAGGAACCCCAAACCAGGACAGGCGAGGGGGAAGTCACCCTCCAGGGGTCGCCAGACCCTCCAAACGGAGGGACGCCGAATGCCCAGCGGCCCGCGGCCGGGGGAAGCGGAGGGTCTGAGGTCCAGTCCAGCCGCCACGTGGCAGGACGTGCGCGGCCGCTCCGGGGCAGGTCCTCGGCGGCGAGGTCAGGGCGGCGGGAAGATGTCCGCGCACTGCTGCAGGATGAGCTCCACCACCTGGTTCTGGAACACCATGGTCATGGGCATGCTGGCCTCCTCCGTCTCCGGCCGCAGCAGCGTGGGCCCGAACACGATGGCCACGCTCTGCACCGACATGCGGTTCTGCTCGCCGAACTCGATCACCCTGCGGCGGGTGGGGATGGGAGAAGGGGGATCAGGGCCCAGAGACGGGAGGGTGTTGCTAAGGTGACCAGATCGCCCCGCTTTTGGCGGGGCAGTCCTGACTTTTAACAATTTTTCCTATGTCCCGTGGCGTTTTAAAAAAGTCCCGATTTTTGGAAAGATTATTCTTTCCAAAAATCGGGACGACTTCTTCTTCTTCTTCTTCTTCTTCTTCTTCTTCTTCTTCTTCTTCTTCTTCTTCTTCTTCTTCTTCTTCTTCTTTAAAAATGATCTTGTTTTATTTTATTTTTTAAAATATATTTTATTAATTTTTTTATAGAGAGGAAGAGAGAGGGATAGAGAGAAACATCGATGAGAGAGAATCATCTATCAGCTGCCTCTTGCACGCCCCCCTACTGGGGATGTGCCGCAACCAAGGTATAATACATGTCCTATGACCGGGAATCAAACCTGGGACCTTTCAGTCCGCAGGTCAGCGCTCTATCCACTGGGCCAAACCGGTTTCGGCAGGGTCCTAATTCTTTCTTTTTATTAAAAAAAAAAAAAAACATATATATATTATATATATATTATATATATATATAATATATATATAATTTATTTTTAATAATATATATATATTATTGATTTTTTACAGAGAAGGAAGAGGGATAGAGAGAAACATCGATGAGAGAAAATCATCAATCACCTGCCTCTTGCACGCCCTCTACTGGGAATGTGCCCGCAACCAAGGTACATGCCCTTGACCGGAATCGAACCTGGGACCTTTCAGTCCACAGGCAGGCGCTCTAGCCACTGAGCCAAACCGGTTTCGGGGACAGTCCTGACTTTTAACCATTTTCCCAGGTCCCGCGGCGTTTTTAAAAAGTCCCAATCCTTGGGGGAGGGAAATCGGGACTTTTTAAAAACGCCGCGGGACGTGGGAAAAATGATTGAAAATCGAGACTGTCCCGCCAAAAGCGGGGCGATCTGGTCACCTTACGGGGTCCCCGCCCCCCTGCCCGCGCGGGGCCGCTCACCCACCGGCACAGGTGCTGGAAGAGCAGCCGCATGGTGTCGTGGTTGGGCGCGGGCAGCGTGTGCACCAGGCTGCGCACCAGGCGGCTGCGCTGGGCCGGGTCCTGCAGCTCTGGCGGAGGGAAGGGAAGGGCAGGGCGGGCTCGGCGAGGGGGCCGGAGGGATCGAACCCCCTCCCGGCCTGGGGGGTCCTGCCCCAGGCAGACCAGCCGCCCCCCACCCCCGCCGCACTCACTGATGGCCGCGATGAACTTGGGGAAGTGCGAGAAGGGGAAGAGGGGCTCGGGCAGCTCTCGGAAGAAGAGCTTCAGGGCGCCGGTGATCACGTGCACGTCCTCCCAGCGCCCGTCGTCCAGGTCCAGGCGCTCGTCTGCGGCGGGGGGAGGGGAGGAGGAGGAGGAGGAGGGGGGGTGAGCGCCCCTCCGTGCCGGCCTCCCTCCGGGCTCGGGGCGGGGCTGCGGGTGCCTCACCGTGGTCCACCTTGTAGCGCAGCTTCTGGATGGTGGCCAGGTTCCCGCTGATGCGGTACAGCCCGTCGATGTCCAGCCCTGGGGGGGGGGGGGGAGGCGGCGCGGAGCCCGGGGTTTGCGGGGCGGTACTAAAGCCCCTGCTACGGCTCTGGTTCCGTCTAAGGAGCTCCGGGTCCGGTTCTCTCCACCCTGCGCCCACCCAGGGGCCTCCCGCATGGGGTCCTGTTGGAGGTGGCCAGGCGCCCTGCACGCGCCCTCCTCCCCGGCCCGCCCCGGCCCGGCCCCCGCCCCCTCCTCCCCGGCCCCGCAGGCCCCGCACGTACCGCGGGCCTCCACGGCGCGGATGCACTGCTGCACGAAGCGCGGCACCGGGCTCCGCTCGCGCTCGCACAGCGCGGCCAGCGCGCAGCCGAACACCTGGTCTGGGGGGCAGGCCGGTCAGCGCCGCCGCCCCGCGCCCCCGCCCTCCGGCCCCTCCGCCCGCCCTCCGGGGCCGGTACCTTTGATGTAGCCCTTCTCCCGCAGCGTCTGCAGCGTGGGCCTCTTGAGCAGGAACTTGCGGAGCTTCTGCCGGACCCTGCTCAGGTCGCTCTCCGGGACCCCGGGGCTCAGGACAGGCGCGGCTGCCGCAGGCAATGCAAGGGCGGGTCAGTCGGTGGCCCCATCCGGGTCACCACCCCCTCCAAAAGATTCTCTTCACCTCACCCCACCCTCCACCCCTCCATCCCCTCCATCCCCGCGCACACCTGCTCCAGGCCGCGCCTCGTCCTCCCACCAGCTTCCCAGGCGCTCTCTGGACCCGAAGTCCACGCTGCTGTTCTCGCTCTCCTCCTCCGGGGGCAGGGCTGCAGGCTACAAGCGCACAGCTTCAGAGGCAGGCCCCTGGCCTGGTGACCCCCGACCCCACAGAATTCACCCTTCCCTTCACCAGGATAGTTCCCCTCATCTCCACCTGGAAGCTCAGAACATTCACCTTCCTGAGCTGCATGAAGCTCGTTAGGTGCTGGGAGGCAGTCCTCCTGTTCTGCCCTACCCATGTCCCAGCTCCTGCCCCCCACCCCGCTTTCCATGTTTTTCTCAGCAACTCTGTACACTCCACTAGGTCAGGATTCCTCTGTATGTGACTCCCAGTTCTAGCTGGGGCCTGAGCCAACAGCTACAGCAGAATCACCTCCCTGGATTTGGATTCTTGCCCCTAGTAATACAGCCAAATGCCGAACCCAGTGTCGGGTCCTAGGGAACTTCAGAAAGCCCCGGATTCTTTCCAGGTGAATCGCTGTGGGGGATGGGGGGATGGCGGGGACGGGACACACGACACATGACGGGACTGTCCCATCTCTACTTATGCAACTGATATTTTGAATCTAAAAAATGGTAGACTCTTTAATTCAACCCTTAAAAATTTTGCCCTAGCCGACTTGACTCAGTGGATAGAGCGAAGGCGTGTACACTGAAATGTCCCAGGTTCGATTCCAGTCAAGGGCATATGCCTGGGTTGCAGGCTCAATCCCCAGTGCATGCAGGAGGCAGCCAATCAATAATTCTCTCTCATCATTGATATCTCTCTCTCTCTCTCTCTCTCTCTCTCTCTCATTCTCTCTCTCTCTGATTCTCTCTCATCATTGATCTCTCTCTCTCTCTCTTTCCCTCTCTCCCTTTCCCTCTCTCCCTCCCTCCTCTCTGAAATCAATAAAAAATAAATGTATCTCCATTCCAGCCTGAGGCTATTTCTCGGATGTTCTTTTCGTTCTGTGCCCCTTAAGATGGGACAGTCCTCTGGGATGTGCCTCCACCCCGCACTGAGGAATCCTCCTGCAGGGCCAGCCTCAGAGGCTGGTTCCTCAGCAGCCCTCTGGCGGGGGGGGGGGGGGGGGGCACTACCCACTGGGGCCATGGAGCTCCCAGTGCCTGAGCAGAGGACCCCCCCCCCCACAGGGGGCGCAGCGCCCTGCCTAATGGCTGCCACCCCCTCCCTGAGGTCCTGGAGGCCCCGGGCTCTGCCTACCAGCTCCTGGATGGCCTGGGCGATGGCCTTGTGCCAGGTGCTGATGATGGCCTCCGAGTCGTGCTGGATCAGGTACTCTGAGCCGTCGTGGCTCCGCAGCTGCCGAGACACAAGTCGTGACAGAGTTTCGTCCCCCAGAGACCCCTCCTACTTCTCATCACCGGACTGGGGAGCCCAGCTCCTGGAGAGGACACCGCCGAGTCCATGATGCCAGAAGTACTGCGGATGGATCCCTCAGGTGGGGGCAACTGGAGCTTTGAGCCCTGAGAATTCCAGACCCAACTCCCCCCAGATCCTCCTACTTGGGACTTGCCTAGTTTGCGTCCCGAGCCATCAGCAAGTCCCCTTTCTTTCCCTGCACCCCCACGACTCACCTCCAGCACGTTCTTCTTGCTGGATTTGTCTTTGGGGGCCCAGGCAAGAGAGGCCCCGTTCAGCTCCACCGTGTACTCGGGGACAGAGAGCTTAGAAGGCTGCTGCCTCTGTGGGAGCGGGAAGGAGAGAGCCTCAGCGTGGACAGGCCTGCCACCGCGCCTGCCTCCAGTCCGCCAGGCCCCCTCAGCTCTAGTGACGGGATGGGGCCCCAGCTCTGGGAGGAGGGGGCCCAAGGACTTCTGGAACCCAGGGATCCTGGAACTTCTTAACCACAGAACCTGAGGGCTGGTGGGTCCTCTGCTGCCTGCCCTCCCGGGAGAGGAAAGGAGGGAAGTGTGCAGCCCCCATCCCTGCAAACAGGGCACCTCGTCCCCAGCTGCCTGCCCAGGAGGCTGGAGCGGCCGGCCCCGAGGACAGCTCCCCATGGCCAGCGGCCGCAGGTGCTTGTCCCGGGGTAAATCTGCTGTTGTCTTTGCTAAAGACCTAGCTCATAGGACATGTATGCTCCGCTGTCTCAGAACTGGCCTTGGACGAGACACGTCAGGGAAAGGCCTCCAGGAGTCAGGAGGAGATGGGGTGGCGCCTGCCTGGGCGGCCCGGGCCTCACCAGGCCAACTGCAGCTGAGGTCTTCGAGTCCTTGTAGAATGTCAGGATGCCGCCCTCCAGAACGGTCCAGGAGGTACCCCAGTGCTTCTTCCTGGGGGGTGGGGAAGGCGGGGGGCAGAGCTTGGACTTGGCCCTGGGCTGAGGCTCCTTCCCACCCCCACAAGCAGGACACAGAGCTTAAGAACACAGCTTGGGGCCCGGCCAGAGTGGCTCCATGGTTGAGCGTCAACCTCGGAACCAGGAGGCCATGGTTCGATCCTTGGCAGGGCACATGCTCGATCCCCAGTGGGGGGCATGCAGGAGCCGCCCATCAATGATTCTCTCTCATCATTGATGTTTCTCTCCCTCCCCCCCTCCCTCTACTTCCTCTCTGAAATCAATAAAAATATATATTTTTTAAAAGATCACAGCTTAGGGACACACAACAGTGAGAGGTGGGCTCCCTTTGTCTCTCCGTGCCTCGTGTCCTCACAGGCCTGGCCCAGGGGACGTGCTCAGTGAGCGTGGGCAGAGGGCTCTCACCGGACCCGCTTCCCCTTGTCCACCGTCTTGGTGCGATGGAGCACGCCCGCCTTGTCCAGGGTCTTGACCTTAGAGAAGGAGGGGAAGGAGGAGGGATGTGAGCCTTGGTGGGCCCAGGCTGGCCTCCCCTCGGCCAACAATGCTCCACAGGCTGGGCCTGGACCTCCACTGAGCCCTCTTTGCTGCTGCTGATGGTGGTGGGGTACCTGCTCTCCCAGCAGCAGCAGCAGCAGCAGCAGCAATAGAGACTTCCTCCCAGCTCCCAACCTCACCCACCACTGGGCTGGGATGACCCAGATCCAGGCTCATCCAGCCCAGGCTAGTGCCCCGTTCCAGACCCCAGACCTCCAGAACTCCCCTATTTCTTCTGTGGGGTCCTTCCAGGGCCTACATGCCCCTTCCCTTACCTTCTCCTCCGGAGGGCTGGCCTCGGCTGGGGTCTCACTGTCTGGGCTGGGTTTGAGGATGCTCCGAGGGGCAGGAACTGGGATCTGGGGAGGGAAAAAGACGCTGACATATACAAACCCTCCCTCTCTCCTTCGGACTCTCCCTCCCCAGTCGGTTACCTGGGGCAGATCCCACCGAACAGAGTCGTCTTTGGGGTTGTAGAAGTAGGGCTTCCCGTGGTCCTCCAGCTTCACCCACTGTGAAGGGGAGAGGGAGGGTCAGGGCTGCCAGCGGCCTCAAGAGGGAAGAAAAGGTTTCCTCTAACCAGAGCCCAACTCAGGCCCAAGGAGCCTGGAGGGACAGGTGCAGGTGACAGTGTCCCGGGCTGGCGGAGCCAGAGCAGGAGCTGAAGTTCAGTGTTAAGGGAGTTACTAGCGAGGAAAGGCTGGAGGCGTGTCCCGAGGCTCCTGGGCCCACCTGTCTCCCTACCTGCTCTTGGGTAAACTGGTTGGTGCAGAGTGTCTGCCCTTCCGGGTCCACGTGGCATGACCAGCCGGGAGGCGTGACAAAAGGAGAGGCGGGGCCGGGCTCGCTGAGGGAGCCCGAAGAGCAGTAGTCCTTCTCGGGGTAACTGGTCAGTACCTCAGGGTAGTCCGTCTCAGGGGTGGGAGGCTGCAGGGAGGAAAAGACTGGGTCAGAGGCCCCTCAGAGCCAGCCCACCCACCATTGGCCAGGCCTACCCCTCATCCCAAATTCTCAGGGGTGTAGGGAGGAGGAGCGATCAGAGGCCTGGGAGCCAGCCCCGCCCACCCAGCTCAGGCCCCGCCCCTCATCCAAGTTCCCAGGATTGTGGGGAGGAGGGGTCAGAGGCCAGCCCCGCCCACCCAGCTCAGGCCCCGCCCCGCCCACCAGCTCAGGCCCCGCCCCTCACCCAAGTTCCCAGGATTGTGGGGAGGAGGAGGGGTCAGAGGACAGCTCCGCCCACCCAGCTCAGGCCCCGCCCCCACCCAAGTTCCCAGGATTGTGGGGAGGAGGGGTCAGATGCCAGCCCCGCCCACCCTCAGGCCCCGCCCAGTCAGCCCAGGCCCCGCCCTCACCCGCTGGTCCTTGGGGCCGCCCGGGCTCAGGCCTGGCTGCATCCTCAGCGCGTCCGCGTCCTCTTGGTCCCCGGGCTCCTCGGACTCCTCCTCCCACACCGTGTCGCCCGTCACCGGGTTGTAGAAGAACACCCTGCGGCTCTCCTCATCCCAGTACTGGCCCCACTCGGTCTCCAGGCTCTCGTGGCTGCCCACGGAGGACAGCGAGTTGGCGGGGCTGGCGGCGCCTTCCGCGGCCTCGCAGGGCGGGTCCCAGGTGGTGACGCCGGTGTCCGGGTTGTAGTAATAGGGCCGCCCGGTGTCGGCGTCCGTGTGCGTCTCCCACACCTGGCCGGGCCGGCGGGCCGCGGCCGCGGGGGCAGGGGCCGGCGGCGGCGGCCTCTCGATGTTCGCGTACACGGGCTCCGGGGCCTCGTCCGCGGGCTCCGGGGCCTCGTCCACCTGAGCGAGGAGGAGGGGACGGGTCAGCGGCGGCCACACTTGCCACCCGGGCACCTCCCTGCCTCAGTGTCCCCGGCTGTGGAATATCTGCCGTGCCGCTCTGGAAATTGCAGCGAAGAGAGAATGAGGAAACGCTCTTGAAAGTGCTTTGTAACGTAGGAAGTGCACCAATAAGGTGGGGTAATGCCATGAATTATTTATTAATGAAATATTGATAACCGAATTCTCCCAGCTGTGCACTCAGAGGAGGACCAAAGGTTGGGCAGAAACAGAGAAGTGGCCTGGGACCCGCCCCTCCCCTGTCCCTTTCAGGTCCTATGGGACCAGGATCTCGCTGCATCCTACATCCCGCCCTTCCTCCTGGCAGGGAGCACTCCGGGGCCAGAATCAGTACTGCCTCTGGATTTGGGACTAGAATCTCCTGGTTGTGGGGTTTGTAGGCCTCTGTCTCGACTCCAGATACGGAAAGCACAGAGGACAGCCAGATGGGAGGGGAAAAGGGACAACCCTAGCCCGTTCGGCTCAGTGGATAGAGCGTCAGCCTGTCTACCAAAGGGTCCTGGGTTCGATTCCAGTCAAGGGCGTGTACCTCGGTTGCAGGCTCCGCCCTGGCACAGGCCCTGGTCAGAGCTCATGTAGGAGGCAACCAATCCATGTGCTACTTCCATATCAATACTTCAGTCTTCCCCCTCCCACTCTCCCTAAAAATCAATGGGAAAATGTCCTCGGGTGAGGATTAACAACAAACGAAAGAAAAGCAAGAGGAGGGGCAGAGAAAGGGGAACCCCTCCCACCCCCAAAGGAAAGTGAGGTGGCTGGAGCAGTGATTGGCAAACCGTCTCGGGAGCCACGGTTTGCCGCTCCGTTAACTAGTAAGTTTGCTGACCACTGCGTTTTGACTTCAGGTTAAAGACATTAGTACATTATTAAAATGTGTTTTTTTTTAAGTGTTTTTCCCTAAGGCAGTGATCGGCAAACTCATTCGTCAACAGAGCGGCAAACTGCAGCACGCAAGCCGCATGTGGCTCGAGGGCCGCAGTTTGCCGACCACTGACTAGAGGATTCAGTCACACGGAAGACAAACCTGGTTATGTTTAACACCTGCAGCCTGGCAGGGCAAAGTCTAAGCCTTTCACAGTCCACCCGAGGCAGCCCGTCACCTGCCAGCACCTTATTTCCTGCCACTCCTTGCTCCTGAGCTTGAACTTTAAGCTCCTGTAGCCCCGCCCCCACCCTCTCTGCTGTGCCTCCCACAGGCCTCAGCTCACTCACAGCCTGCCCAGGCCCTCCGCACCCTTTTCACCCGGCTCAGGTGTCAGGTTCCAGACCTTTCCCAAGAGTTCCCCTGTGCCCACCACCGCCTGGCACTCTCAGCCCATCGGAGGGGTAGATAGCGACCCTCTGAAACCCAGGCAGCAGAATCGCATAGGAGATGAGTACTGTTTTCTAAGAATACAAAATGCTACGAGGGAAAGATTTCAAGATGATAAACAGCACAATTCCAATATTGTGCTTTTGGAAACAGAGGTGTAATTACAGGGGTTGGATTTGTCTTGTTTATTTTTTTTTTCTTTAAGCTTTTAATCCTCACCCAAGGATATGTTTAGAAAGAGGAAGGGGGTGGGGGGAGAGAAACATGATATGAGCGAGAACCGTTTACTGGTTGCCTCCACTATGTGCTCTGACCCAGGATCAAAGCTGAAACCGAGGTACCGGTATGTGCCTTGACCAGAAATCAAACCAGCAACCTTATGGTGTATGCGATGACGCTCCAATCAACTGAGCCACCTGGCCAGGGCCAATAAACTTAAAATTTATTTCTTTTCTTTTTTTTAAATATATATTTTATTGATATTTTACAGAGAGGAAGAAGGGAGAGAGATAGTTAGAAACGTCGATGACAGAGAAACATCGACAAGCTGCCTCTTGCACACCCCCTACCAGGGATGTGCCCGCAACCAATGTACATGCCCTTGACCGGAATCGAATCTGGGACCTTTCAGTCTGCAGACCGACGCTCTACCACTGAGCCAAACCGGTTTCGGCTAAAATTTATTTCTTAATATGTATTTTTTATTTTAGAGATGAAGAGAGAGAGAGAAAGAGGGAAACATCAATGATAAGAAAGAATCATTGCTTGGCTGCCTCCTGCACGCCCCTGACTGGGAATTGAGCCTGCAATTCGGGCATGTGCCCTGACTGGGAATTGAACTGTGACCTCCTGGCTCATGGGTCGATGCTTAACCACTGAGCTACATCCTCCGGGCTAACCCTTTAAGTCATAGAAGTTTCTCTGTTGCCGTGAGACCTTCACTAAGCTGTAAACTCCTCAAGAGGGGACGCATGTCCTGCTCTGGGTGGCCTCTCCCTCAGCCTCAGGTGCCTACCCAAATACTCCTCTGTCCAACAGAGCTTCCTACTCTGCACCAGGCGCGGCTTTCGGCGCTAGGAATGCAGCAGGGAAGCAATGGACACAAGCCCCTGCCCTGGCAGCCTGCACTCGTGTGCAAATGGCGGGGGAAGCAGGCGCTGTGAAAGGCTCAGCGTGTCGGTGATGATGGCTGCTAACAAAAAAACAAAACCGCTGCCAAAAAAGGGGGTGTGGCCACAGGTCCTGGGCATGGAGGGGGCAGGGAGAGCGGGGTGCAGCGTCCATCCCTCCTCGCCCTCCCCCACCAGCTCCTACGTGGCGAGACCACCCTCCACCCCACTTCTCCTTTCTGTCCACTCACAACAGCCCTTTGTGGCGTCTTGTATTCCAGCCACACTGGCCCCAAACACAGAGGCACCCTCCTACCTCCGTACCTGTGCTCCAGCCATGCCCTCCGCCTGGAACTCCCGGCTCTTTCCCTGCCTGCCCACCTCCGGCTCCTCCACCGAGCTCCGCTCACAGGCCGCGCTGGGCGAGGCTTTCTCCGTCCTGAGAAAACCTGACCTGCCGTCACCCTGCTCTGTTGGGGCCTGTGGCACGCTGCCTTGGTGGTCGGTTCGTGGTCCACCCGTCGACCTCCCCTCTCTGCCCCTAAAGGCATGAGTTTCTTTATTTTGTATTTTATTTTTTTTAATTTCTTTATTGATTAAGGTATCACATACTTGTCCTCAACCTCCCATTCCAATCCCCTACTCCCCCCCACTCATTCCCCCGCCCCCGTATTGTCCTCGACCACTGGTTGGGCTCATATGTGTGCACACAAGTCCTTTGGTTGATCTCTCCCTTTTATCCCCACCCTCCCTCTGAGGCCCAACGGTCTGACCCCTGGCTCCTGATCTCTGGGTCTGTTCTTGTTCATCGGTCTGTGTTGTTCACCATTTCCCCTAGCTGAGTGGGATCATGTCCTACTGGGAATCTACTTATGAGAATCAAACACGAGACAAGCAATCATTGTGATTCGGAAAGGCATATGAGTCAGTCTGTCGTGAGCTTCTTTGGCGTGAGCTTCTTAAAAGCAAGACTCGGGCTGTTACTGACACGGTCACCCCGCACGAGATGGTCCAATGCGGATCCACCCAGAGCACTTCCTGCGTGAGCACACAGGCCATTTCCATACAGACTCCGGCAACAAGCACACACCTGACACTGCAGGGGAGAGCGGGGTGAGCCCTGAGCGGGAACTTCCTGGAAACCAGGGTCCAAGCAAAGGAACAGGAGACTCCTTGGGATGACAGGACAGAGGCAGCAGCGGAAGGTGAACTGCCAGACACACCTGCTGTGCACCCCAGCTAACCCCCCCGACAGGGGCTGGAATAAAGTGACCAGATTGTTTTAAAACGCCGCCGGACGCCGGACAAATTGTTAAAAATCGGGACTGTCCCGCCAAAAGCGGGACGTCTGGTCACCTTTTGGGCAGTGGACCCGCCAAGGAAGCAGCCAGGCTCTTTGGGGCAGGGATGTCCGCCTGGCTGGGCTGCTGGCCTTGGCTCTGAGTCCATGGGGAGCCTCAGGCTGGCTGAGCGGATGGGGATCTTGCACCAGGAACACTCCCAGCAGGTACAGAGGAGACCTGGGCGGTACCAGTTTGGGCCTCCAGCATGACCGGCTGTCATGAGGAAGAGAAGATGCAGACTCACCCTGTGGGGCTCCACACTGCAGATCAGAGGTTAAACGAGGGCAAGACAGTGTCCCTTTGAAGGGGGCACCTTCTCTGGATGGGGGCTGCCCCAGGAGGCCGTGAGGGGCCTTCACTGGAGTGAGCAAGCAGCCCCCCCCCCCGCCCCTGTAGAGATGTGGCAGTCCTGTGAGGAAGCTGCAGCAGCCCTGAGGCCCCTTCAAACTCTAGAACCGAGGTCGGCAAACTGCGGCTCGCGAGCCACATGCGGCTCTTTGGCCCCTTGAGTGTGGCTCTTCCACAAAACACCACGGCCTGGGCGAGTCTATGTTGAAGAAGTGGCGCTAGAAGAAGTTTAAGTTTAGAAAATGTGGTTCTCAAAAGAAATTTCAATCGTCGTGCTGCTGCTGTTTGGCTCTGGTGACGAATGAGTTTGCCGACCACTGCTCTGGACTCTACTGAGCCCCCAGGGCTAAGACGGAGGTGCTTTCCTTTCCTGGCAGAGCCGCAGCCTGGATCAGGCCAGCTCCTGGGGCCATGATCTCACTCAGCTAGGGGAAATGGTGAACAACATAGACCGATGAACAAGAACAGACCCTCCATGCCCCCTGGCCTTCCAGAGAGCTCGCTAGGGTTAGAGCCGGGCCTGCCACCCCCACCCCCCACCCCCACCCCCACGAGGCCCAGACAAGACCAGATGCAGCCTGTCTAGGGCACCGAGGCTCTCAGGGGCCTCAGTCACCGTCATCAGAGACACGGGGACACCTAGCGGGAAAGGGGAAGTGTCCTCCCACCTCAGGCCGGAGGACGGGGCGGAGAGGGGCCCAGTTCTCATCACACTCAGAGCTCCCAGCCCCCAGGTCCTCTGGTCTTCACTTCCCACCCACAAGCCGGGAGCGGGCCTGCCTCTCCCCCCGCCGATCGCCACCTCCCAGCCCCTCTCGGAGGGGCAAG